ATTTTCAAAACTATCTTTCATTAATTTTTATCAACTTTTCTTCTTTTACATCTTATAGACATCATAAAGCACAATTTACATCTAGTAATATCATGTGCTGATTGATACCAGAGAGAAATATATATCTTATTTTTTGGTCCTAAATTAGGATCCAGTATCTGTAACAGTCACTATTATGAGCTATTTAAAATAATCCATTAAAATGTAGATTGGGGGGCCTCCCCGGTGGCGCATCTGGTTGAGTGCAGCACTGTGGAGCTGTCCGCAGCCTCCGAGGCGCCGGTTCAATTCCTGGCCAGCCGGGGAGATTCCCACATGGCGAGGCAGACCTCTCCTGTCTCACCCGCTGCTCCCCTCAGCAGTGTACTTCCGTCCTTCTGCCTGTTCTGCTCCCTGCTCTGTCTCTGGTGAATTCTCTCACCCTCCTGCACCTCTGGCCTGTACCCCAGTGCTTGTATAATAAATAAATCTTAAAAAAAAAATGTACATTGGACAGTCCCATGCAATATTGATCAGAGTAGATAAAATCAGGATCAACTTTCTATGCCCTTTAAATTTACTTTATGTGGGAAATGATGTTCTGTAGTATCCTTAGGAAGATGTTTGTGTGTTATGAGAAGTAGAAGGAAGTGGTGCTTCTCAGCAGTATCAAAATGAGGTAAATACTTTGTACCAGTTAGAGGTAGGGCCTGACATATGACATTTGAAAGGACAGTGAGGCACATACTTCACAGGCCAAATAGAACTTCTTTGGTTTAATGATTTTTTTTTTTTTTACCCTGAAAGACACTTACAAAGTTGCTTTAGACCGCACACTCCCAAGGGCAAGACAGAACTTAACTCTGCAGATCTGTAATGTGACGTGCAATTAATGCTCTATGAGCCGTTAGCCAGAAAAGAGTTCAATGGTCATCAGTTAAAACACTGTGATGATAATTTCAATTACTAGCTAATTTTAAGATTTGAGAATATACTTTATTTTTTAAGTATGATTACACATCTTTCTGAATCCTCGTATGTGCTGAGAGTGACAAATCTTTGGCACTTGACTATTCAACGGGAGCATTTTGCTATAAGAAAATAGTAAAAGTAGGAAACGATTGAATAGGAAAATACAATTTTTCAGAAGTGCTATTTAAAAAGAGGAACCCTTTTTAAAAGGGATGGACTGGCAAATTAGCAAATAGCTATCCTAACAATTTATTAGAGGGACTTATAACATTTCCTTAAGAAGGAATCACTAAAATCACTTTCACTAAAGCAATAAAAAGACTCTCTCAAAGAGAGCTAACATGAAGAACTCTAAAAGTCATGCTATTTCATTTCTTTAGACCAGGATGGCACCAGCTTGCTTGAACAGCAGTAGAATTGGCTAGACAGATGTCTGCAGAGGTGTGGAAAATTAGGTCATGCTATAAAACTAAAAGCCAAACTTCTGAGGAAGTAGAAATATGAAAGAGCACATTATACTGTATCAACTTATTTTCTTAATTTTGTGTTTATGTTTTACTTTGATGTGATTGCATAAAAAGGCTAAATTTCCTAAAGGTAAAGATTAACCTCATTCCCAGAAACTATTACAGTGACCTGAATATATTTGACCTTAATAAATTCTTGGTAGTGGTGATAAGAATTCATTCAAAACTGGAAGATTTCTGATCCAATTACTAACCCACCCAAAAAGTGAAGATGAGGGATATTCAGGAAATGCTTCAGTAGATATGGTAATCTTTTAAAGTAGTAAATAGGCTTGACGCTCATAATTATTTGAAAAGACTTTTGACCTGGAAGTTTCTGAGAGTAAGCTGTTTGGTGAGAACACAAAGAGCGGGCTTTATTCTCCTACATTTTCTTTTCTTTGAACACTGCCATGTGTTCTGGGATTCACTTTAGAACCAGCTAAGATGAGAAGTAGACAGAGAGCTTGACAAACATACCACCTCCAGATCAATCTTCGAAGCTCTCTAAGTGAGGTGTAATCACTGTAAATCTTTTTTTTTTTTTTGCAGTTGATTTATATTGTAATTAAGGCAGAGAAGAAGCACATACAAGGCCAAAAGTGGAAAAGTAGCACACATTTTTCATGGAAAGTTTTTCCCCCATAAGTCAGTGCACAGGAGAGTATTAGAAAAAAGAATTATAAGGAACGAGTCACGCTCACTGGTGTGATATGGGAGAATGCTAAGTCATCTGTGTTTTCTGTTTAAATGTATATATTTCAGATGATTAAAAAAGCACATGGTGAATTGATCTTACAGCTTATAAAAGCAATATTTCAGCTTCGGTGTTTTTTATTCTTTTTTTAATCAAATTATCTCCCAAAGCATTTTGACTGAAGTTTATTAACAAGGCAATGCAGCTATTAATGCTTTGCAGTGCACTCTTGCAAAGTTAAGTAAGAGACATGACTTTTCCTATGCATACTGATCATACCTTCTGAAGGTCTAAAAGAACTCAAGATTGCATAGCTGACTGATTTGGAAGAAAGAAAATTGTTACT